TAGGAGTTTAGAAAAATGGTCTTGGTGGGTCAAATCACCTATGAAACTTAGTTCAAGAAATTTGGAGAGCACATTAAGTATAAAGGTTTTAGTGATTGTATAGCAGAGGTGACAAACATGTTAGAAGAAAGTATGACTAACTCTGTAACTGAATGTCCCAAAGGTGCTTTTTCAGGAGGCAACTGTACTTTTCTGTTTTTTCTTTGAAGATGTTTCACTTCTCATCAAGAACCTTCTTCAGCTCTGGCATGATAGTGGAGCATCTCTACAGACATGTATCTATACAATTTGGGATGAACACCCTTTGAATGGTGTGGGAGTAGGAATGGATTTCCAGAGGGAAAAAAATTGCAGACTGCAGGAACCAGGAGCACTACTCAGATGACCCTGAGGACACAGATAAATCTCCAAGTGCTTCAACGGCTCTCTAAAATAGGGATGTCAAACTCAAGGCCCAGGGGCCAGATCCGGCCCGTGGGGTGCTTAGATCTGGCCCACAGGGCCACTCTAGAAACCGCAAAGGACCGGCCCGCGGTGCCTTTGCCAGTGAAAATGGAGCCCACAGCCCTCCCAGGCTCCATTTTTGGCTGTAATAGCTTCCTACACCCCTTTGCCAGTAAAAATGAGCTTGGGGGGTGCACATGCCCCCCCCCCAAGCTCCATTTTCACTGTCAGAGGGTGGTAGGAAGCCGTCACAGCTGAAAACGGAACTCTGGAGCCTGTTTTCACTGGCAGAGTGCTTGGGCCACCACAGACGGCCCCCTAACTTGAGTGACATCAAGCTGGCCACGCCCACCCTGGCCATGCCCAACCTGGCCTCCAAGGTCAAACATAACCCTGATGCGGCCCTCAATGAAATTGAGTTTGACATCCCTGCTCTAAAAGGATGCAAATGACCAACTGCCTGTAAGGATTATAAATTCTTCCATTCCCCACTATCCTGTCAGAGTTGAAGAAGCTTCTTGGATGAGAAGCAAAAAATCTTCAAAGGGAGAAAAACCCCAAGAATGTTCAGTGTCTCCTGAAAAAGCACCTTTGAGACAACCTTGACCTGGATAACTAAGAATATCTACAGACATCTGTAACTGAATACATTTATGGAGATCAAAACACCAAAATCTGTCTTCAAATTCTCCTTCTACAAAAATCTCAAATACTAAGTAAAAAGTAAGGTCTCTTTTAAATATGCAGGGATTGGATTCTACTGGTTCAGACCGGTTCGGGAGAACTGGTAGCTCCAATGATCAGCTGGGAACGGAGCGGTTCACTCCAACAATCAGCTGCGCCCGCTCCTGCACTTTATTTACCTTTATCTTCGCAGCTGATTAGCACAGCAGAACGGATCGCTGCGCCTCAGCTGTTTTAATTCCCTAGCACTTACACGGAAGGTGATTTTTCGTTGAATTACCGAACCGGTTGTTAAACCAGAAGGATCCCACCACTGCCTATATGATTGATTCAACTACAACAAATTGATTGATTCAGCTACAACAACCTAAGAATGGAAAACAATAAAATATTATTTACTAATATACGTATATACTGTACATAAGTAGTTACAGAGTTAAGTGGTATGTTCTTCTAACCTATCTGTCACCTCTGTCATACAATCACTAAAATCTTTATACTTAATGTACTCTCCAAATTTCTTGGACTAAGTTGCATAGATGATCTGACTTGGTTAGTTTTTCAATATATTTAAGTCTATCAAAATACTCTTAAGGTGATGTGACATGCTCCTGCTATGCAAAATAAATATTCCCTCCCAGACTTCTCTTGATCTAAATTAGGGTTTTTTTTTTAAAAGAATTGAGGAACTTCAGGGAATTTTCTTCCTGTTTCAGTCTTTGAGGTGGCTTCCTTTCTCTAATTGAGCAAATTAAACTGGGCTGAAAATCTAATCCCTGCATTAGTCACCATGAAGAATGTAATATAAACAGTACCACAAGGAATATAGTTTAATCTCCAGCGTGTGCTCATGATGAAGTAATCACAGCCATCCACGACATGTATAACTTATTCACATTTGTTCTCATCATCCTTCTTAGATCTTGCCAACTGACTCTTAACAAAAGAAATCATCGTCCCACAGCACAGAGTGGAATCGCAAATGAGCAATGGGAAAAACTTACTGGCAGAAAGTGAATACGGTAATAAATATAAATGGCAACAGGTGAGGAGAACTCAGCTTTTGATCTTTTTTTTTTTTTTTAGGAGAACAATGTCACACTTTCCGCTACATCTGAAATAATGACATGTAAAGTGTTTTAGAACACACAATATAATTGATAAGTAGAGCTGTTATATAATTAGATATTTTCTTGATTAAAGGGTAAGTAGAAGCAGTGCTGAAGTAAGGAAAAAGAACAGTGTGCTTTTAGATAATAGGCATATCTATTACCCAAGACTTTGTCTTGAAAGTTGGATCAGATGTAGCAATGCTATGGAACACTGTAAACCCTTTCCTTTGTCATAAATGCAACATTTGAACAATGTAAGATAATCTGCTCTCTTTGGTAAACTGCATATTTTATAAGAGACACTATTTTAAAATAATAGCCTACTTTTTTTTCCTCCAAAAGAAATTGTTACCTTTTTCCTCACAGAAGACAGAATTTTAGCATATGGAATATGTTTAAATTCTTCTCCAATATCTAGCTGATTTATTTATTTATTTAAAAAAAAAGAAGCAGCTTTAACAGTTTGATATCATCATTACTTTCATTTTAATAAGCATTATTAACATTTTTATTTCTTGAATTAATTGGTTTCTACATATTATTTGCCCAATGTTAGGTTTCAGAATAGATGTACTAAATAATCCAGATGCTAAAGATATAGCAAAATAAATTTAGAAACAGCCTTTTTTCATGGCACTGATTCTGAGATGAAACATTAAACATTAGAGCTACAATTTGCTAAACTCAGAATATAATTTCTCTCTCTCTTTCTCTCTCTCATCATTAACCATATACTGTATTACTACTACTCTTTCTCTCACTCTGTGTGTGTGAGAGAGACGGGGAGGGGGGAGGGAGGGAGGGAGAGGGATGGAGGATGGAGATGATTGGAACAGTTCTACTACATTTTTCTCCCTAAAGTAGAACAAAAAATGTAATCCCAAACATTTTTTCTAATAAATTATATGGCCCTGAGTCAGAGGCGGGTTTCAGCATGTTCTGACCAGTTCGGGACAACCGGTAGCAGAAATTTTGAGTAGTTCAGAGAACTGGTAAATACCACCTCTGACTGGTCCGGCCCCCATCTATTCTCTGCCTCTGGAGTCCCAGCTGATCAGGAGGAAATGGGGATTTTGCAGTAACCTTCCCCTGCCACGCCCACCAAACTATGCCACGCCCACCAAGCCACACCCACAGAACCAGTAGTAAAAAATTTTTGAAACCCACCACTGCCCTGAGTACTAACTTATTTAACATGATGCGGGAAAACACCCGAGATTTTAATTTTTTGCATATATATATATATATATATATATATATATTATATATATATATATATATATATATATATATATATATATAGAGAGAGAGAAGAGAGAGAGAGAGAGAGAGAGAGAGAGAGAGAGAGAGATTTATATAGTTGTTATGTATAGATTTAAGTAGATGCCCAGACTCTGAGGAAAATCTATTGCTTTGATGTTCTCTTGTTACTTTAAATATTTCCTTGATATTGTGTTCTATCCAGAAAGGGCTTATCACACCGCACTGTATTTATTCAAGCATATCTACTGTGAAAGTGCTTACTATCAGGGGCTTTTTTTAGTCAATATCATGCATTAGATTTTAATGTTTGGTACTAAGAGATTTGCTACTCCTGATATTTGATTTCCCATCAGCTGGATCTTGACAGATATAGCACCCACCGGTTATAAGTGTCAGCTTGATGCGGCTTTTTTGTTTGTTCCTTTTTGTGTTCAACTAGCCTGTGAAATGTGATATGTGATGTCTCGCTGCCTGGAGGCCGTGCGGGTCTAGATGGGGAGGAACAGGCTCAGACTCAACCCGTCCAAGACCGAGTGGCTGTGGCTGCCGGCATCCCGATATAGTCAGCAGGTGCCATCGCTGACTATTGGGGGTGAATCTTTGCCCCCCACAGAGAGGGCTCGCAATCTGGGTGTCCTCCTGGATGCACGGCTGTCTTTAGAAGAGCATATGACGGCCGTGGCCAGGGGGGCCTTTTATCAGGTTCGCCTGATCCGCCAGTTGCAGCCCTTTCTGGACCGGGACGCCTTGCGCATGGTCACTCATGCCCTTGTCACCTCCCGGCTGGACTATTGTAATGCTCTCTACATGGGGCTCCCCTTGAAGAGCACTCGGAGGCTCCAACTGGTCCAGAATGCGGCCGCGCAGGTGGTTATGGGCGCAACTCATTGTGCCCGCGTGACACCCCTCCTGCGCGAGCTGCACTGGCTCCCAGTGGTCTTCCGGGTGCAATTCAAGGTGTTGGTTACCACCTTTAAAGCGCTCCATGGCATAGGACCCGGGTACCTTCGAGACCGTCTTCTGCCACCAATAGCCTCCCACCGACCAGTCCGCTCCCACAGAGAGGGTCTCCTCAGGGTGCCATCAGCCAAGTTATGTCGGCTGGCGACACCCAGGGGGAGGGCCTTCTCTGTGAGAACCCCAGCCCTATGGAATGAACTGCTCCCGGAAATACGCAAGATCTCCGACCTCCGGGTGTTTCGTTGTGCATTGAAGACCCTGTTGTTCCGCCAGGCCGGGCTATCGACATGATAATTTTAAATTGGGGTATTTTAAATTTTTGGGGTTTTAAATCGGCCAAATCTATTTAATTATTTTAATTTTTAATTATTGTTGTGTCTTGTGTTTTTAAATTGGCTGTACACTGCCCTGAGTCCTTCGGGAGAAGGGCGGTATAGAAATAAAATTATTATTATTATTTATTATTAAAGAACTTCCAACATTTAACAGAAGTAAGAAAATTGAGAAAATAAGAGTGTGAGAGAAAGAAGGTATTACCTGCAGAAGGCAATCTCAGTGGCTGGCAAACTTCATTTTCACCAGCTTCCTCAAGGGAAATGAACAGCTTCCTGACCAGTGTCACTGAAATAGTCTGCACTAATAGAGAAGTGAGGTTTGATCGGTGTTGTTTATAGCTTCCATCTTCAAAAAGTTGCAGGGAAGAGGAGATAGTGAGAAAGAGAGACAAAAAAAATAAAATTAGTAAGTCACTATTTTCAAAACTTTGTTCCATTTCCTCCTTTTACCATTGCATAGTAGAGTAGAGGTACAAGTAGTCCTCGACTTACAACCACAACTGAGCCCAAAATATCTGTTGCTAAACAAGACAGTTGTTAAATGAACTTTGCCTCGTTTTAGGACCTTTCTTGCCACAGTTGTTAAGTGAGTCACTGCAAATTTTGAGTTAGAAACACAGTTATTAAGTAAATCTGGCGGACTTTGCTTGTCAGAAGGTTCACAAAAGGGGATCACATGACCCCGGGACATTGCAACCATCATAAATATGAGTCAGTTGCCAAGCATCTGTATTTTGATCACGTGACTACATGGATGCTGCAATGGCTCTAAGGCAGGGGTGGGCAAATGTGGCCCTTTTACAACCTGTGGACTTCAACTCCCAGAATTCCTGAGACAGCCAAGCTGTTCCTGAGACTCCTTCGCTGTTTCTGGGGCGACCCCATGGGCCAGATCTGGCCCCCAGGCCTTGAGTTTGACACCCCTGGTCTAAAGTAAAGGTAAGACTTCTATCTGAATAATTTTTCCCAGCGGTTTAACACTCATGCTAAATAGGAAAGCACATTCAATGCATCTTAATCTCCCATAGCTCCATTATTATGGAGTAGAGCAGTAGTCTTACAACATGACATCCCTGAATAAATGCCATGACCTTGACTGATTCTCCACCCCACATTATTAACTTCAAAGGATGGTTGTTTAAATAGCATGATGGGTTTAAAAAGGGATCTTCAGGACTGGAGAAAAAAAAGCATCAGAGACTGCAAATAGAGAAAGCAGCTTCAGTCACATTTTTTTTTTAGGTCTCCCTCAGAAACATTTCACAGACAGATTTTAAAGGTTTATTTTCCATCTGTATAACCTATACATAATGAAAAGAAAATTTAGAGAAGGTATGTTTGTCATTGTTGAATAAAGTGAACCATCTATAAACAAGGCTGAAAAACAGCTTTTCTTTCACATTTGTGTTAAACCTTTTAAATCCTCCCTTATTATACCCTAGAACAGTATTTTAATGATCTCCTCTCCCCCCCTCCATTTTTAGAAAAGGTAAAAAAGTGACTAATATAGAACTGACTTTTAACTACATTGCTAATAGAATTGTATTACTTTTGAAATAACAGAACTGAGCGGTTCATTAATTTTTCACCTTAAGCATACTGGAAGTTTGACAGTTTTATGCTTTCAATAGATACTCCAAAGAACCTTATTCTGTGTTCTAGGAAAGGATAAAATTAGAATAGAAAACAAAGTATGTTTAGTAGATAAAATGTATACAGCTCTACTCTGGGAAACTATAACCTGTCAGAGCAAATGATGAATAAGGGATGTTTGGTGGAATAAAAATTTGGCTCACTCAACAAGCTCAGTCAGCAATCTCCTGGACCTCTTCAATTTATACTTAAAGGGAATACACTGACTTTAGGCATTATAATTTGGGAAGCAGGAAAAAAATATATAATATGTGGTGGCCCTCACACATATCAGAATACAATCTCAAAATTTTGTGACACATGACTAGGTTTCAATTGCTTACAAAGGCAGTGATCATGTGCTAAAAATATGTTGAGTTTTGCAATAGTTATGATATGTTTGGAAATCTAGAATAGAATAGAATAACAGAGTTGGAAGGTACCTTGAAGGTCTTCTAGTCCAACCCCTTGCCCAGGCAGGAAACCCTTCATCACTTCAGACAAATGGTTATCCAACATCTCTTAAAAATTTCCAGTGTTGGGGCATTCACAACTTCTGCAGGTAAGTTGTTCCACTGATTAATTGTAGGCAATATTTTTTTTACTAATGTAATTGGGGGTACTAAACATTTTTTCCTCTGTCCTATGCACAGTGAACTTATAATTATTGAAAAATATATGTCTCATGGGGAAATATGAAGGTAACACTGGAAGTTTTTAAGAAGAGATTAAACAACAATTTGTCTGGTTTGACAGACTGACGGAAGCGGTAAGAGCGGCTACTACCATCTCTAGTCATTGCTAGAGATTTCTAACCTGAATATGAGTTGCCGGCGCTGACTGATGACGCTATGGGAGCACCGACAACATTGAGGGGAATGTGCCAATCTCGTCAAGGCTGCATGCTGCTGAATGCTGGACCCAGCTGGTTGCTGTGCGGAGCTTCCCCCACCGTCCCAGGCATCCAGGTGGATATTACCGATGCTCCGACTTCCCCAGACAGCTGGGGCTCGCCATCACTGGGGGTCTGGGGAAGTCGGAGCATTGGTAATATCCACCTGGATGCCTGGGGTGGTGGGGGAAGCTCCGCACAGCAACCAGCTGGGTCCAGCATTCAGCGGCATGAAGCCTTGATGAGATCAGCACAGCTTCCCGAATCTGAGTTGCCGGCGCTGACCAATGACGCTACGGGAGTGCCGACAACATTGAGGGGAAGCTGTGCTGATCTCGTCAAGGCTGCAAGGTGACAGGACAGGGTGACAGGAAAAAAACCTGGTACGAAATACCCTCTTGCCGCTACATGTGACCCATTACCTTGACAGATGGGCAAGCCTGGCTCGTAGGTATCTGTATCGGTTCTGTTAAGTCCTCAGGGTTAGGTCCTACCCACAGTCATCACTGTTGCCGCCCTACTCTAATTGGTTAAGACGCTTTGTTCTCTGAATAGAACACTATTCATACTGTTCATACAGTATACTGTACTGTTCATACAGTACAGCACCAGTACATACAGTACAGTATACAAATGGCTAACAGTCAAGACCCCATCATGGCTCCACCAGCAAGAAGAAAGAAATATGAAGCCAGTTTTAAACTTAAAGTTGTAAACTTTGCCATGGAACATAATAACTGTGCTACTGCAAGACAATATGGAGTAACAGAAAAGATGGTTCAGGACTGAAAAGCAAATGTAAAAGCATTAAAGAGTATGCCAAGGGGTAAGTGTACATTAAGAAGAGGCACCCCACATTGGCCAGAACTCGAAAAACATGTAGCAGACATGGTGAATGAGCATCGCCAAAACGGTTATATAGTGACACGAAATAAAATATGTTTGTTTGCACTTCAGTGGGCTAAATCTAACCCAGATCACAGCAACAGATTTAAGGCCATTGTATCCTGATGTACCAGATTCTTGGAAAGGCATAATATGGTACTGAGGCAAAAGATGAAAATTGCACAAAAATTACCTGCAGATCTTGATGCCAAAGTAAATAGTTTCCATCGATACATAATACAACAGCGCAATAAACATGGCTATGTGTTAAGTAGTATCGGAAATATGGATGAAACTCCAATGAATTTTGATATGATTGGAAATAAAACTGTCCATCCAAAAGGTGAAAAAACAATTTTAATTAAAACAACAGGACATGAGAAGTCCAGTTTTACAGTGGTACTAGCATGCACAGCTGATGGCTCCAAACTGAGACCAATGATTATTTTTAAAAGAAAAACAATGCCAAAACTCAAGTTCCCTGTTGGTTGTTTTGTACATGTGAATGAAAAAGGCTGGATGGATGAAGAAGGGGTAAAGCTATGGCTTGATAATGTATGGAGCAGGCGACCAGGTGGACTTATTCAAAAACGTAGTCTACTGGTGTGGGATATGTTCAGGGCTCATTTAATTCCCAACACCAAGCAAAGGCTTGCAAGAATAAACACAGATGCTGCAGTTATTCCTGCAGGATTGACATCGTTGGTACAGCCACTGGATGTGTGCCTAAACAAGCCATTTAAAGATCGCATTCGAGAACAGTGGAATGAGTGGATGGTTAGCGGCGAAAAGTCATTCACAAAAGGAGGAAACATGTGTGCTCCACAGTTGGATGTTTTGTGCAAGTTTGTCATAAAAGCCTGGAATGATATTGATGCAGAAACAGTAATCAAGTCCTTCAAGAAGTGTGGCATATCAAATTCATTAGATGGTATGGAGGACGACTACTTGTGGCAAGATGAAGAGGAAGCCGAAGCTGAGACCACACCATCTGATACGGAATTAGATCCATACGATGACTGCCTTACAAATGTATCACAAGATGTCATTGATGTACTTATGATATCAGATGATGAACAGGAGGATTTTGAAGGCTTTTAAAGGGAAACTATCACGCCAGCAAAACCTGTAAAATTAGCTTGCAGTTATGATAGGCGTTGCTGACTCGCCAGGGACTTGCCCGGCACTTGTTCTCTACTGTTTGTTATCTTCCTCCTATCATCATCAGTTCCAGTTTGGTTGACAGCTTAGAAAACAAACAGCATGGCAGCTCCCATGGGTTTATTGTCTTATCCTTCCTTTCAGCTTTAGAGTGAATTAGGAAAAGTTTAATCCAATTGCACTGCTTTATGTTTACATGTTTGATGACAAACAGCCTTATGTTTATAAGTGACAGTTTTCCTGCTAAGTACCTGCATGTCATAAGCACTTGAATTAAAATTACCATATTGAAATCAAATCTGATGTTTTTTTAATTTTTATTTGGTGTGCGTTGGAAGAGGGGTAGTCTTATACGGCGAGTATAGCTCAAACCCTATATTTTAACAGGAAAAGTAGGGGGTAGTCTTATACGCCCAGTCGTCTTATACGCCGGAAAATACGGTAACTGGATTTCTTTTGAAGCTTGGCTCGAGGCTCATGATTTAATTAGGGCATCTGTCGGAACCCTGATGTAGAGCTTCTTTTTAAGACTTTACTAAAATTTGGGCTCAAAAGAGAAAATGTAATTTGGAGCACAGGTTTGCATCTCTATAGATGATGAGTACAGAAGACAAGTTACATCTTTTCTGGAGATTTTCCGGTTGCCCATCACAGCTGACATGGAATGGTTAGGTTTAAGGTGTTCTTGAGAGATATGCACGCCCACATATGTTCTAAATATAAAACCCAGTGGGGGAAATCAGTGTTCAGATGGAAATGAACAGAAGAAGATAGAA